GATATGTGCATCTTTCACTAGAATACCTAATATCAAAAACAAGCTGACTGCTTAATTCACAATAAAAAACTAAACTTTAAAAACGTTTTTTCTCGATTTCGGTATTCTGACATTTACCTGGTTTTCGCAGTATACCGACGCTATATATATTTGTTAGACAAAAAAGAATTAATTACAATTTAACAATTAAACAATGTAAATTTAAATAATTTTTTTGTGCTTACGAAAAACATGTACAAAATTTACATGGCTAAAAAAATACCAAAAAACAACTGGGAATACTATATTTTGACGTTTATCAAATATGCAGGCTTGGCAAATAGAATTTTAAAGAATTAAATATTTTAAATTAAACATTTAAGGCACTAAAAATAAAACATTTAATTCTTAAAAGGGTTTCCCACTTATATTTTAAAGCGGCAAAATAAAGTATTAATAATTTTTAAATGATGTTTAATGCTCAAAAAACACTTAATTCAATACACGTTCCCACAATATCCTAGCTGTAGAAGAGTATAATTCATTGCAACGGAAAGAAGTGTTGTTGAAAGAAGCATTAAATAAAAAAATATATAGAAAGTTGATTGATGAGTAATGCCTGCAAAAAAAAATTGTCAAAATCAGATAGACTTAGTTTTTATTAATTAAAAGTTTGAGTATTTTTGTACCTTAAAAAATAAATATCAATATATTTTGTCACTTAACTATATTGACCGTTCTTTGTTTCTCTAAACTTGTACAGTCATTGGTTTTAAAAAAGGATCAAAAAGTTTTTTCAATGACATTCTTACAGTACGTTTTTAACCTATATATTTATATATGTTTATGTAAACTAAAATTCGGCTTTATATTCAATGACGTAAAAACTTAAATAGAGTACAGTAAAAGCTCCTGACATGTTAAAAGAATGCCAGAGTACAGATGGCCTAGAAGAGTACTGAAATGGATCCCTTCTGAAGGAAGAAAGAGGCAACTGCATATGACAGAAATATATATATATATATATATATATATATATATATATATATATATATATATATATATATATATATATATATATATTTAAAAAACTGCCAAGCAAGAAAAATTATTAAATTCTTTATTGCTATTGCCTAAACCTTAGGATAATATGTAGTTTAATAACTTGCATGGTCAAAAACTGCAATTAAAATGATTTTTTATGTATTTGTTTTTTTATTTTGTCACCTTGGAACGTATCCCCAATAATCCCATATAAATTACCATTCCATTTTAACAGTTTCTGTATTGGCGGCATATTTACAGAACATGTACCCAGCGAATAAAGAGCTTCTACTATAAACTAATTTATTCAGTTTTAAAACTAAAGCAAAAATTCATTACATTATTACATATATCGAAAATACGAGTATTAGACCAATCAATAATAGTCGAGGCTATGAAGCAATAAACCTACCAATATTTTTGAGTTGCATTCGACTCGTAAGAGGTTAGGAAATTTTGTGAACTAAAGTGATGATGTCGAAATGAAAATTGCATTATTCAACATTGAAGGAAAATGCATTTTTCAAATTGCCTTTCGAAGTGATAAAAAATGATAAATTTGTAATTCGGAAATGAGTTCAATATTATTACTCAGGGGTTTTTGGTGTCACTAAATACAAATATACCGTTAGGTTACTTAGTAAATAAATATAAAACTTTTATTTTTCATTATAAAATTACATGTATATATTATACACAATAACACAATAACCACTTTGATCAAATGTTTCATAATGCAATGTCTACATCTTCTTGTCCCAGTCTTGTTTTTTTTTCGTCTATCGATTAATTTTTATATTTTTTGTTATTTTTGCCAAAATATCAAGCTCATGTTGTTTGGTACAATAATTAATTGTGTTGTTTTTATGGGAACTAAAGTTTGTTCTTTAAGTTTCCATCTCCAATCTGTGGAGTTTAAGCTATTTTGCTTTACGAAGAGCCAGTTTTGCACCTAAACATATACCTCAGGTAAACGCATCGACTTTTGGGAGAATGATGCCGAGGAGAATTTTCTTGGTTTTTGCCAATAAATACATACGGTATCTATGTCTCTGACAACTGAGTCGTACTCTCTTTATACTCCTCTGGTATGTTGGGCTTTTCTAAAGCTAATTGAGACATTGTACATTGACATAAGTAGTTGGCCAACATGTTCTGTTCAATTAATTCATCAATTGATCAACGACGTTGTTTAAATTTTTGTACATTTAATATTAAGTATAGATTTTTTTAAATATATTAACAATTTTATTTTTTCCTTGGCCAAAGGTAGCGTATCACAACCTGTTATTGCATGCAGTACTGAAATATTTTCTTGCACATATAGAAGGTGCTCGAAACTCTTGAAAGAATATAATTTTTCCGGTTTATTTTGCCGAGGTTTCATGAAATAAACTTCAATGCCTAATAGAGTGAGGGCACTAAGCAGCATGATTATGTCGTCAGTATCTTCTGTAACCTAAACTATTTTTTGACTAATATCTTTTGTCATTTCTATTGCACTGACTACTATCGTTCTATCTGAATCTGCAGAACTGTATGCGAACAATACCTACTTCAGTCAATTTACGTGGTGGCATAAGATATTTTTAATGGAAGAGTTTCAGTGAAATTCACATCGGCTAAGGCTAAGTAGCGTACACGTCGCATTATTTTTGTATTTTGTATCGATTTTTCATAAAACTCCAGGTGACGAGATTCGTACTAGGTACCGGGTGAATCAGAGACAATCACCATCATGATATTCGTGTTCAGTTACTCAAAATTCCCTCAAGTAACGAGTTTGTACCGAATTTGTATCGAATTTTCAGAAAACTTCAAGAAACGAGGCCCATCCTGGGCATAAGGTGTCCAGGTACAAATTTATCATTTTTTATTATTCAGAAATGAACTTTGGAAAATACATTTTCCTTGTTAAATATTGCTATTTTAATTTTGACACCATGACTTAAGTTCACAATTTCCTAACGCTCTTACAAATCGAATGCAAGTTTGATTGAAATCCATCAACTGCAAATAATTAGTAGGTTTTGGACTTTTTATTGCTTCATTGCCTCGCCTATAAACACAATTATTTTAGTTAACTTTCTTGTATCCCTTAAAAAAAGTGCCAAAGATAAAAGATAATACCTAGTGGAGCCAAAGTAAAGTACACAGTTATTAAATATATCTACTTGAAATCTGTAAATGCATATCAAAATACCTGTACTTAAAAATGTTGTCATATTTATATATTAGTAAATGAAGTATTTATTAAAAAAATTATTCTAAATGTTCTATACGGATTATATAAGAATTGCTATGGTAGAGTACAATGAAATGGATGAAACCTAGATGCATAGAATAATTATATAAAAAGTTAAATCAGTCAACTATTATCATATAAAAATATAACTATAATAATTGAGGTAGTAGGTAGTAATGATTTTAATATTTAATAACTAATCACTCCTACTAACTCCATTGTATGCCGCCATATTTATAAAAAGTCATTTAGTGTATTATAAGTTATTTAGTGGTGTAAAATGATAGTACATTACATTTTTTAAATGCGAAACCCAACCACTCGAATATGACGAAAGCTGTGAAAATACGACGTGGAGTGAGGTAAGGGTGTTTTTTATCGCCTCTACTTTTTAATATCTACTTCGAATTTATTTTCAAGAAGCCTTTGACGAAGATGCAGGCATTAAAATCAACGGAATTAATGTCAACAATCTCAGAAACGCAGACGACATGGTACTGATTGGTTCCAATAAAAAAGAACTGCAACGACTTATAAACAGGATGATCAAAACATATGTTAAATATGGCCTTAACTTAATACTTTTAAGATAAAACTTATGGTTGTTAGCCAAACGAGTTACAACCAATAAACATCAAAGTGTATGGAATAAAATTAGAAAGAGTCCACAATATCATCTATTTGGGTACCATAGTTGAAGTATAAACCATATCACTGAAGTATAAACAAAGAAATAAAAATACGCATTGAAAAAGCCAGAGCAGCCTTCTATAGACTAGAGAAAACTCCCATTAATACAGATAACATTAATCCCAAAAATCGGATTAATACGCTGCTACATATTCTCCACATTACTGTATGGCATTTAGGATTTAACTCCTACACAGACATTAATGAAAAAATTGAAGACTTTTAAGATATGGATTTGCCGACGAATATTGCGGATAAGTTGAATTGATCAAATAAGAAATTAAATAGTTGACCCGAATGAAAAAGAGCACAGAAATACCCAAAACAATAAAAATTCGAAAGTACAATATTTCGGCCATGTAATGAGGCATCCAGAGAGGTACACCTCATAATATAGGGCAAGATCGCCGGAAGAAGAAGCCAAGACCGAAGAAGATCCTGGCTCCGAAATCTCCGAGAGTGGTATCAAGAAACATTCGATAATCTGTTTTGAGCTGACGTAAATAAAGTTATTACTGTCAATATGATCGCCAACGTTCGATAATCGGAGAGGGTACTAAAAGAAGAAGAAACACAAACTATATTTATGGAGCAGAAACAGTAAAATTTTAAGTAAAAAACTATACCGTGTCGTTAGAAATTATATAAAGTGTTTATCGTTAAACTAAAAGAGAAAACAAACAGTTAAACACAATATGTTCTTTAACTAGAAACTTCAAAAGTACTATAAATAATATTCTAATATTAATAATTTCTAACCCGCAGAAGATACCTTCATTTCTTACTCAGAGAACCACTTATTTAATAAAATGTTACAGTAGAATGCATTAAATAAAATGGCTTTTTACATAAACAGCATTGTAATCTAGAGCCATCTTGGTATACGACATAACTCCTGTAAATCTGATCACAGTTATACATATCTTATATGTATTTCGATTACTTCAGTTTGAGATTCCGACAGCGACAGCTAAAAACAAATTATTTTGAAGCGTTTAAAATAAGATTCAATCCTGGACATCATTTAATATCTCTACTAAATTTATTTTGGAGGCGCTGAAGGCATTTCCGATCTGTTAGAAAATTCTTGTCTCATCGAGTCCGAATAAGATGGAGGCGGTGGTTCGTCTGAAACGCCTAAAAAATAAAATAAATATATTACTTAAAATTAACATTTAAATAAAAATATTTTTTTTTTTTAATTTTAAACGTATTACGTCTTGTAAATAAAAATAAATGGAAATGAGTTTCCATTTATTATTGTTTAAATAATATATCTGTTGTAGGCAAGTATGAAATGCAAATGCAGGCATTCTTACAAAAGCCTCTTACAAAAGTTTTAGTCATTTTCGTAATGACTTGCAGTTTGTATACCGTTTTCATTTTTACGAAATGGATTCGCCTTTAGGCATTTGCGAAACTACCGGAAATGGTAATTCTATTTTAAAACAGTATTGCAATACAGATCATATAATATAAAAAAATTGTACTAATCTAATTTTCTAACCCTAGTTTTCCAATTTCCATGATTACAGATTACTTTACAAAAGTTTACATTTACAATATAAGTGTACTATTAGGTCACATTACAGATATTAGACATAGCTAATCGGGAAAAACTTTACGGTTTTTACGGGAATTACATACATTACATTACGGGAATTATATAAACTGTACGGTTTTTTAAAGCTATTTAGTTCTGTAACAAATAAAAAAAATTCAATCTAGCATTACTACCTATTTTCCTACAATGACTTTTAGTATAATCCCGAGAAATCTAGAATTTAGATGTTACTAGAGTAAAAGTTATGTTACTAGAGTAATTCTTCATAGAATTTTTCTCGATTAGCCATGTCTAATATCCATCGAGTTATAATCTATGGAGAAGCTATGAGCATATTAACATTAAAAATGGCGTCAGTAGGTGTGGCTAACGATCATACCAATATGGCGGTGGGTTCAGGGCATGACTCAATAATATTAAAACTACTATACAAATATGACTAGTTATTCAGCAGATTTAATCATAATCTAAAAAAGTGCAATACATTTTTAATAAACTATGATTTATTTATCCCGCGGTAAACACTAAAAACACGACATATTATACATAAAGACACATTAATACAGTCAAATAACAAGTTGTATCTGAAAGAGATAATAATATAAATAATATTTTAAAGGGTAAAATGGATATAGGGCATGAAATAAAAGAAATACGTTCGTTTTACAACTTATATTTTTGATAACTACGAATTAACTGACACTTAATTTAGTTTAATTAACAAAGTTAGAAAAGTTATTTTATTAAAGTTAAAGTTATATTATTAAAAAAACAAAATTGAATATCTACCGAATATCACAATAGAAATACTGTGTAGAAATAAAAATAATTATGTTGCAGTAGTTAATAAGAAATTTTAAGATATATGAGTATTCTCAAGAATAGCACGATTTACCTTACTTATAAGATTGTCTATGAATACTATTAATTTATTTTCTGAAGTACGGGCCATTACTTTGTTTACATATTTGTATACTAACCTGTGGAACGTTATTCCTGAATATCTTTTATTAATATTGCTTTTGTTACTGCGACTACGTTGAGAACAAGAAACCATTATTATGCACTATTACAAGATAATATTACAGTTTTTATAAAAGTATTATAAAACTAAAAATATTCGAAAAACAAAAAACCTAAACAACCATAAACGATCTGAAACAAAGATCATACCAATATGGCCGAAGTGAGGTCGTTTTTAGTCACGTGATGCCCTCTCCATAGATTCTAACTCGATGATAATATCTGTAATGTGACCTAATAGTACACTTAGACCGTAAACTTTTGTAAATGCTGCTGTAATCTGTAATCTTGAAAATTGGAAAACTAGGGTTAGAAAAGGTTAGAAAATTAGGTACAATTTTTTTTTTATATTTCATGATCTGTGCCTAAATTGCACCACTGTTTCAAAATAGAATCACCGTTTCCGGTAGTTCCGCAAATGCCTAAAGAGTGAAGTCATTTCGTAAAAATGAAAACGTTATACAAACTGCCAAGTCATTACGAAAATGACTAGGTTTTTGCAAGAATGCCTACATTTCATATTTGCCTACGACATATCTATCATTTGGATGGCACCTTGCACTAGTTTCTCTACTAAGTTTACTAATTTCTCTGTGAATTGCTGACCCGCATTTACATATATATTCTATTTCCTCTTCTTTCTCTAGATGTTTACTTTTAAACCCTTCAGAAATACTAGGTAGCGGGTCTATACTCAAAAAATTTGTTAAAACAAGAAATAAATCACTCTATTGATGTATCACATTATTAGACAAAACATTGCAATTTATTTAAAGCAGTGTTTTTCAATCTGTGGGTCGAGATCCCTGGGGAGGTCGCGAAGCCTTAGAATGCGTTCATTACGGAGACCATCGCATCAATGGTCTCCGTATAGAAAGACCTCAACATAGCTATTTCGTATAGCAACCAACAAAGTCATCATAGCCAGAATGATCACCAAAGTTCGGAACGGACAGGCACCCTAAGAAGAAGAATCGCATCGTATCCTCGCCTAGAGCATAGCACTGACAGTGAGCGCTCGAATTTAAAATAAATATGCATTTATTTTACCTGACATCGATACGATAGTCGCAACGAGGCTCGGTAGTAGGCACCTCGTAGTGTCGATCGTAGATTACTAGGCAAGAGAATCGAAAAAATACAGAGCTGGAATACTATGGTCCAAGTCCATGGTCCAAAACCTGGCACGAGGCTGGGCGCTGCGCTTTGACGGTGAACGCTGGAATTTTTAAAATAATGCATTTATTTTACGTGGCGATGATATTATGATAACATCCTATGGTCCGACCGAGGGTCGGCGCCTAGTTATGAACGCACACTTAGTCGGGGGGTCACTAGCCAAAAGAAAAAGTGGAGGTTATTACACAAAAAAATTTATGTTTCAAAAGTTTATCAAATTGTGGTGCTATTTTTAAAAGGTTAATAATCAAAACATTTTCATATTGCAGTACGTTTCTCTTTTTAGTTTTAATATCTACCATTGAAGAAAATGTCAGTTCACACAAGTATGAAGTGGCGTATTGCACTAATAACATAAGAGCTTCCCTTGCCAGCTCTGAATATTCATGTTTTCTGTTCATCCAAAATACGTCAACACTTTGCGAATAAAATTCAATTTTAAGCATGCTATCACCAGCAAAATCTAGAAAACATTCTTTTATTTTTGTGGTGACATCAATCAGATCTATTTATTTGTCTAAAAACGGGTTTAAAATCCATCAACGCCTATTTTCAGCTTCAGAGTTCAAGTCTGGAAAGTATGTTAAAAGTTGCTTTGTAAATTATGCAAGCTCTGTATAATGCAAGGAATGTGAGCCGATACTGCAAAACTCTGGTCTGTTGCATTATCTTCCTTAATCTTCTGAACACATGGAAAAGATTCAAACATTTTATTTTGCAAAGAGTTTGACTACAAACGAAGTTTTGCGTGAAATGCTTTTACTTTATCTTTAGCTGTTAAAATATTTTTGTTTCTTTCTTGAAGGTTCTTGTTCAAATTGTTAATGTGACTAAAAATATCTGCTAAAAATGATAATTTAAAGAGCCAAATAGGGAATTCAAGGCTGTTTCCCCTAATAATATTGACTCGTTGACACTGGATGCCTGAAACAACATAAAAGTGAATAGTCTCTGAGTGAGTAGTATATAGCCAATAAAAATTAAGGACGTGGAACCTTTGCACACAGACATTAAGCATAATCAAAACTTGTATGCAAACAACAAAGAAATAAACATCCGGAAACATTCCGCACATGAAAAAAAAGGGATGTTTCATGATGTTTAGGGAAGAAGGGAAGAATTACAAAATATGATGGATGAATTAACTAGCGAATCAACAAAAATAGATATACAAATAAATTATAATAAAACGAAAATTATGACCAACCAACCAGAAGAATTAATAATTAAAATTGCACAAACAACTATAGAACAACTAAAAGAATATGTATATTTGGGACAATTAGTTCAATTAAATAAAGAAAATCAGACCGGAGAAATAAAGAGAAGGATACGGTTGGCTTGGGTATCCTTCGGAAAACTTTTCTATATACTAAAAAATAGAAAACACCCGCAATATTTAAAAACAACAAAGTCTTCAACCAATGTATACTTCCTCTTCTCACCTACGGTTCTCAAACTTGGACGTTTACAAAGGAAAACATGAAAAAAAATAGCAAAGACCCAAAGAGCCATGGAAAGGCAAATGCTGAACATCAGGCTATCAGACAAGAAAAGAAATACTTGTATCCGCAACAAAACAAAAGTGAACGATGTATCAACGCAGATAGCAAAACTTAAGTGCAAGTTCGCTGGACATACCATAAGACAGAAAGACGACAGATGGAATAAGGTGATTATACACTGGAGACCATATAGTTATAAACGAAAAAGAGGAAGACCACAAATGAGATTAATTACTATTAAACTGGGAATAAGCCACAATTAAAGATAAAAATACGTATATTGACGTTTCAATTTCCACTTCGGAAATCGTTCTCAAAATACCTACCAGCAGACAAGGGGAATGCAACTGTGATAATGGATAAAATTCAATACGAAAATAAAATTAAAGATCTATTAATAAACGGACCTTATTCAAAATTAACAAAAGATCCAACAAAGCCTTTGGAAAACAAAATATATAGAACTTTATTCAAGTTTAAAGATGTTTTAACAAGTTATCAGAGAGGATTAATTACATCTCATTACAGTAAGACTCCTCATTTTTATGGAGTACCGAAAATTCATAAAACGAATATACCACTTAGACCCATTTGTAGTACCATGAATTCTCCTTGTAGTGAACTATCAAAATTTTTATTAAATATTTTAAAACCATTTACAAATAAAAATGACACATTCATAAAAAATACACAACATTTTTTAAATAAATTATCAAATATTGAATTTAATTCAAATCATACTTTGGTAAGTTTTGACATAAATAGTTTATTTACAAATGTGCCATTAAATAAGACTTTAAGTATAGTCTAGAGAGTGATGATTCATTGGCAACTAGAAGAAGACTAAACATATCGGCTATAATGGAGTTATTAACATTATGTACTGATAATACATATTTTCAACTAAATAATGAATTCTATAAACAAAATTTTGGTCTAGGAATGGGCTCTAGTTTATCTCCATTCTTAGCCGATATATTTATGGAAGATTTTGAAACAAATATCATTTCTAAACAAAATTTAAAACCCACAGTATGGTGGAGGTATGTAGATGATGTATTCTCAATATGGTCTCATGGATCAGAGTTGTTGGACACATTCCTAAATGATATAAACGATAAAGAAGAGACAATAACATTTACCATGGAAAAGGAATATAATAACACGCTACCTTTCCTGGATGTTTTAATCTCTAAGAACGATACTGGATATGAGACTCAGGTGTATAGAAAACCAACACACATCAATAGATATTTAAATTTCAAATCGAATCACAATATTAATGTAAAAAAAGGGAATAATTAAATCCTTATACGATAGAGCCAAAATTGCTTGTTCTAACGAAAATTCGTTTTTGGAGGAAAAACATTTATTAACATCTGTTTTATTAAAAAATGATTATCCTTTATCGTTTATAAATAAGGAATTTTCAACAATCGATCGAATAGAACAGAACAACTTAGAACAAGATCCTACAGCATACACAAGGAATAATATGAGGAAAATAACAATACCGTACATAAAAGGATTATCAGAAAAACTTAAAAGGATAGGAAATAAATTCAACATTTCAACAACATTCAAAACAACAAACACGTTGAGATCTATTTTGTCCAAAACCAAACCTAACAATGAACAAGAAAGGACAAAGAATTGCATTTATAAAATACCTTGTGAATGCGATCAGTTTTATTTAGGTGAATCATCAAGGCCATTAAATGTTAGAATAAGTGAACATCAATCTTATATTAAAAATAGAGAATTTGATAGATCTCAAATCTGTAAACACGCATGGGATAATGAACATAGGGTTCAATGGAATAATTCAAATGTAGTCCTAAAAGAAACGGATGGTAAAAAAGAAAAATCAAAGAAGCGGCTCTAATTATGCTAAATGAGGCCAATTGTGTCGCAAATTCCTCGGCAGAATGTAGTAGGATCTGGTTACCAATATTGAAAGAGGAAGTTATTAATAAGAAAATACCAGTATTAGTAAGTCAGTAACATATAGAGGATACATCATTTATGTTTTTTAAATAACGTAACATATAAAATCAGAATTTTGATGTTTGTTGAAGGTAAACTAAATTCACGAACAAATACTTACAATGTCGGGATAGTATTATGAGGTTTTTTTCCTGGTTTTTCCCTCATAATTTACTATGGAATCACTAACAGGAGAATTTTACTGTCATCATGTCATGTGTTTGTCTTTTTAAAGACGAATTACATGCTATGATTTTTTTCTGACGGATATTCTCAAGTTAAAGTTGATTTCATGTAATCGAATGAACTATCTTATAAGTAAAGTCGTCCCAGGAGCGCAACTCAACAATATTGGCAATATCATTTTAAAGTCGTCTACTTTAAAATGCATAATGTATGTCTGAATTGTCAATATAAATGAGTCAGATAAAATTAAATTATTAGAAGAATTTTTCACTATGTAACAAAAAACAAAATTTGTTTAATTTACTGTTTGTATTTTGAGAACGATTTCCGAAGTGGAAATTGAAACGTCAATAAACGTATTTTTATCTTTAATTGTGGCTTATTCCCAGTTTAATAGTAATTAATTCACAATGCCACAAGAAAATAACTTCAGAACAACACAAATGAGATGGTCAGATGACTTGAACAAACATGCAGGCCCGAAGTGGATACAAACTGCCTACAATAGAAAGACGTGGAAGAAGGAGAGGCCTATGTACAAAATTAAACAGATAGATAGATAGAACCATCAACAGTAGGGAGTCTATTGGAGATCTTGCAAAAACTAAATATTAATTATCAAGATGTTAGAGGAAATAAATATTCTGAAGAGTGTACGATGGGATATATTCTCTCGCCACTAATATTTAACTTATACTCAGAATATATTTTTCGTGAAGTATTGAAAGATGAGTCAACTGTAATAGTGATAAATGAAGTTCTTGTCAAAAACAACAGATATGCTGACGATACGGCTATAATAGCTAACAATTTGACCTCCAGAGACTTTTCGATAAAGTATCTATGGCTAGTATGACACAAGGTTTACATATCAACATCAAGAAAACCAAAAAGATGGGTATCTCAAAAAAAGTTAATAATAATTGCGGACAATTGGTCTCTAATGGACAGGTCATTAAGTTAGTTTCACGGTACAAATATTTTGGATCTGTCGTCAACGAGAAAAAACAACATTCTGCAGAAATTCGTTCACGTATTGAACCGGCACGAGCTGCGTTCATCAAAATGAAAGCGCCAAACTGTTGACACCACCATTTATCTCTTTGACTCTAAGAAGCAGAATGGTTAGTTGTTATGTTTTTCCTTTGAAATGTGGCCCTACAGACGAATTCTCAGAGTGTCCTGGATGGATAGAGTCACAAATCAGGCAGTGCTAGAAACACTCAATATTGAACCTGAAATTATATTTACTATAAAGAAGAGAAAACTTGAGTTCCTTGGTCATGTCTCTAGAGGCACAAGATATGAAAGCTTATAATGCAAGAAAAAATAGCTGGAAGAGGAAGTGTGGGGCGTAGAAGAATTTGTTGGCAGCGTAACATTCGTGAATGGTTCGGAAAAACATCGGTTGAAATAATTAGGCGCAGCAGTTTCAAAGGTGCAAATGCAAATAGTCATAAGTTCAGCAACCTCACAGGAGACGTTGAATGCAAGAAGAAGCTTATCGCTTAAGTGCATAGTCCTTAACACTTCGTGGAGATTAGGACTAGAGACTATGAAAACATTATAGTATTTCAATTTTGAGAGCATTTAATTATGTTAGACGGTAGATTGTGTTCAGTTTATATATAAATACACATAACCCAGAAATGTTTAAAATGGTCCATTCAGTGAGTAAACATTTACCAATGATCCGTGAAAAGCAGCCTGAGTTACGACTAGCTACTAGTCAGGATGAAGCATTGGTAGTAATTTTTGAATTTTAGTTCAATGGCTGGTCAAAAGAAAAAAAGTTCCTCAAGTTTGTAAAAAGTACTACAGTATTAGAAATTCACTGGCTTTCTAAACTTCTTCGACAAAACTGAAAAATATTGAAAAGTATCATCCATATAAGACACAATTGGTCAATAATTGTATGACGATGATTTTGACCGACGTCTAGAGTTTTGCGAGCGACTTGCCAAATAAGAATCCTCATTGGATTCATGAAGCACATATCTCGCATTAAAAAAAGTTGAATGTCTGTATGGGAATTGTCAAAGATAGGCTTATACGCCCATTTTTACAGACGGAAACTTGACTGGTGACAAGTATTTAAAACTTAATAACCAAATTATTAATGACCTTCAACTGAGCAGCTAGTTACCAAAAAAATTTTGGTTTCTACTAGATGGAGCATCCCCCACTATTATCGATGGGTTAGACATTTTTTAAATTGCAAATTGCCAAATCGACGGATTGAACGTAGAAGATTCATAGTGTGGCCTGCTTGTTCTCTAGAGCTTAACCCGTTAGATTTTTTCTTTAGTGATATTAAAAATCACGCATTTACATTAGGCGACCAACATGCTTACAGGATTTGAGACAAATAATTATTAATTAATATGAATTGATACGTGGACAAGTATTGAAAAGAGTGACTAACGTATTTATTAATAGGCTTGAACATTAAAAATTTGACGTGATTTTTTAAATTAATAATCTCATTGTTCTTAGCAAATAAAAGTACCTATTCTTTAACTGTACAGTGATTTACTTCTCGTATTAACAAATTTTGTACGTATGAATTATGAATAATAAGTTCTTTTAAAACCTGCAAAAATATACAGTGTGCCCTATTTAAATTAAATAAGATGAGTACTATATGTTCCGGTAAAACCGAAAGTAAGTGACAAAAAATATGGCATCAGATGTGTCATTATACTTGTAAACAAAGTTTCATGAATATGGACTTTTTCGTTTTAAAGATATTTACTTATTTCCATACTTTATCCCAACCCTGTATAAAGAGTTTCCACCTTTATAAACAAATATCGCCATAATAATAATTCTAAGCTTACCATCCAACATTTCAAAATCTTCATCAGTTGCTAATTTAGCTTTAGGTGGGGCCGAGGCAGCTCCCTCTTCCAAGGGGGCAGTGGCTGAACTTGATGGAATTCCTCTGTGAACAGGCACTGGCATTCCAATGCTAGGCAAACCAGTTCCATTTGGAGTTGGAAACAGGGGGGCACCTGTTGGATAGGGCGGTGCTCTCTCGCCGTCTATCGGATAAGGAGGTGGAGTGATATTTGTGTTAATCATTTGCTGATCTGAAAAAAAAAATGTATTTTTAAGGTTGTTTAAAATTAATTATTATCCGTTGCAAGATAATTCGGATGGAATTCCCCAGATTAAAAGGCTGGGCCGATATCAAGCACAAAATGACTGTACTCTCTTAATGCTATAACAAATAGTCACCGTCATTCTTCCGTTACATTAGGCCCAATTTTAAATTATATCCAAAGTTTTAAGGTACTTTACTAAATGATACAACGTAGGTGTAGCCAGGTACGTATTTCAATTTTGACTTGTTACCGATTAGTAAATAAAATTTTAAGCATAATTTTGTGTACCTATTTAAATTTAATCAGTTAATTGCATTTGTACTTGGAATAAAGAACTACAAATTTCTAGGTACGTAAAACCAATTTTTATAAGAGATTAAAAAAATTCTTGGAACTTTATTCAGTAAAAGGATAATGTTTCCTCAATATCAAATTATCACTAAATAGCTTCTGTGAGAAGAAAGTTTATTTGAAAAGAACTTCATTTTCCTTTTGTCGTTCATTTAGAATAGAAGTCAGTGTAATAACTATAATTATGAGTGATATCTAAATGATTAGTGACGATGTCCTTTACATTCCTGCCACTATTTCAGGAAGTAAGACGAGTCTGAACCTGAAAAACGTTCTGGTTATATTCATCTCACACACAATGCAAAGAAAATCGAGCTTAACGTTTACAACGGTAAGTACTCGTTAAAAATACTCTTTAGTTAACCTTCCTAATACCAGGTGAATTTTAGAACGACCAGTACCAGGTGGGGCGACTTCTCGCTCCACTAGTTTGGTTTACTTTTAAACGCAAGGATTCTATGTATCTCATTAATCTTACCATTTTTTAACTCTTTACTGTCTGTATACTATGTTTACTATACTATGTTTACTATACTATGTTTACTATACAGTGTAGGTAAAAGTTTATGGTCGGTATGGTAAAATTTAACAGGATATCTAACGCAGATATAAAATCATATTTTCAGCGAATAGACAAAGATAACAATCATATTTCCCCTTGGTCTCCCCCCTCCATAAATATTTTTAACACTCATTGCTCATTCGTGAGACGAATAGTTCCGATCAGAGATATTTTACATATTCTCTGGTTCCGATCCTAATATACCTAAAAAACTAGAGGTGGATCCTCTCGTTTTTTAAATTTTTATCGGAACCGTTTTTCGTAAACTGTAACTAGTTGATTGTTTACCAGTATTCAAATTAGCGAGTACACAAACATATTGGCTATTATCATTTATGTGTATAAGTATTGAAGTGAAAGAACCTAACGAAGGATATATTTCATATAACTTGAAAAATAAATTAAACAATACAAATAGTACTTACATTTACATTACACATTATTAAATCGCGAATCGTCTAAATTGACATTAAGTGAGAGCGCCCACCAAAGTGGCGTGGCACGTAGCAAGTGGCAAGTAGCACGCGTCTAGCATGTTTCTTAAAATGTAACCAATGAAAACGAATGATTCAGCGCACACCAAAATGACAGTGACGTCATTCATTCTAATCATTCGTTTTCATTGGTTACATTTTAAGAAACATGCTACACGCGTGCTACTTGCTACGTGCTACTTGCCACGCCAGTTTGGTGGGCGCTCTCTCTTAAAAACAAGTTTTTCCACTTTTCTTGTTAACCATGTTCTTCTTTTATTTAAAATTAAACCAGATTTTAAACATGTGTTCACAAGGAAAAGATTTTGTTACAATACTACAACATTTTGGTAAATGTGGTTAAGTTAGGATATACATGACGATGGTTTTTCCACCACGGTAATGGACAGTTCCAATCTCCGTTCGAAATTTTTTGTGGGTAATATATCATCAGACAAATACATGTCGACTTCTTTTATATCTCTCGATACAGGTGTATGTTATGTCAAAACTGATTTGATAATAGATAACATAAAAAGTCCTATTTTCGACAATTCTGCAAAAAACACATTTAAAAAAAAGTACCTTATCTTCAGAGAGGCTTTTAAAATATTAATTACAATATAACAAAGTTCACAAACGGCCAATCCAAGACGTGAAAACTAGGTAGAGCTTCACCTACTACATGTTAAAAAAATAAATAACACTGGATTATTTGTTCTCAGCTTTCCCAAATTTTACGGCCGTTTAAAGAAATAACAAGTACAATGAGTGACCAAAAATACTTGAAGGGTAGTTCAGTGATTGTTATGGTACGCTGCCTGCAAGAATCTTGCAATAAAATTTTAGCAAACGGTAAATTTAGCAATAAGGTTTAGCAAACCTTACATCCATAGTATCCGACGTAGTACAATTACTAATATCGGGTTTAGCAAAAAGATTTAAAGGGATAGAACAGAGTGGCACATTGTTATTATGTACATTTATGGATTCACCATTTAAAGTGCAGGGATTTTCTGATAAAAATGAAGATAAAAAAATTAAAGAAAAAGTTAAGAAGCTGGTTACTTCTATAATTAACGAACAAGAAGATTGTACTATTGAAAATCAACCAGTACAAGAAAAAGAAACCAATAAAGATGACTTAAATCCATGGTGTATTTTTGATCAATTAATTGGAGATGGCTCATCTACACGTACACCTGAATCGAGAGTCCATTACAACGGTGGAAAAACCATCGCCATGTATATCCTAACTTAACCACTATTAGTATTGTAAATGTGAACACATGTTCAAAATCTGGTTTAATTTGAAATAAAAAAAGAAGACGGTTAATAAGAAGTAAAGTTGAAAAACTTATGTTTTTGAATGTCAATTTAGACTATTCGCGATTTAATAATAACGTGTAATGTAAATGTAAGTACGAGTTACTATTTGTATTGTTTAGTTTATTTTTCAAGTTATAATAAATAAATCATTAGTTTCTTTCACTTCAATAAATATACACATAAACGATAATAGCCATTATGTTTATTTATGTAGGTACTCTCTTACTTAAAACTACTTTTAAACAATCATAGTTACTTGTTTACAAAAACTTAAATTTTTAAATGTATTCATTTTTTTTTGAATCCTGAGAAAACTAACAAATATTTTTGAAAAATTTAAATGCAGAATAAACGATTACATTATTACCGAGGGCCGAAAGTCCCTTAGAATAAACAAAAAGGTTTTGGAATGAGATATTTGAAATTAAAAATCACACTAATTTTTTTTCACCCCTATAACTTATTAAAATAAACATTATATAAGTTTTCAGGGACTTTCGGCCCTCGGTAATAACGTATTGTTTCATTCTGCGTTTAAATTTTTCAAAAATATTTATTAGTTTTCTCAGGATTCGCAAAAAATTAATGCATTTAAAAAATATTGGAACGAAATTTTGTACCTACGCTCTTAACGATAAAACTACCACGACCCACCTCTACTAATCGTTACTCGGTGGGCCAAACCAGACCAGACCGACGTTGCCAAATAATTATTGTGTATGAATATTTTTTAATGTGGCGTTATTGTATGCAGTTTATTATTTCATATTGAGAATAAGGCACAATGTGACTTTAAAGTAAGCTTATTTTGATGTTTAGATTTTTAATTCGGAAATCATACTTAAGGTTGATCTTCACCCTCGATTAATTTGTTTCTGATCCTAGAGATGGCTCTACTGCGGCATGCTACTGTGGTAAATTTTTTAACTTAATTGTAGATTTCTACATGACGACTCTGTAATATTTTCAAATCCTAACATAAATTGCAGTTTTCTGTTAGTATATCAATTGGCTGAGTTGCCAAGTTGTGTAAACAGTAATTTTATCAAATATGCTATAACTTATATGGTTACTAGTAGACCAACTAAGCAAAGATATCTTATAACAACATCTTTATGTATAATACTTTACTGTTCTGCTATGTCAGTCGGAATATAATATACCAAATTCATTCATTATCTAAACAATTTTACCGACAAAGAAATTATGTATGTTGCGGCTTTCTTTGTGAGTATTGTATTACCATTAAATTCGTACATCATATTATATTACATTTTTGTTGATAGTTAAAAATTAAAAAATGATCTGGTATTATGATTATGTAATATTTTAGTGGAAAATGACAAAAATGTTATTTAAATCTGTTTATTAATATCTATTACTATATGTCTTTATGGATTAATAAATTTTACTATGTCTTCTTCTTCGGTTATATTTATATTTCTTATTTCATGCTTCATTGTTCTGGCTTTATTGGTCTGTTTATTCTTATAATTTTTCTTTTATTAATTCTTACTTTTTCTTCATCTTTTTTCGTAAGACACATTACTTCCACTCCTTATGCTATCATCGGTCTAATTGCTGCTGTATGTATTTTTGTCTTTGTTTTTTTTTGCTGTTTTTTTTTATTTTTAAGTAGTGGGTGATATTTCATGCTTATTTCATGCTTCATTGTTCTGGCTTTATTGGTCTGTTTATTCTTATAATTTTTCTTTTATTAATTCTTACTTTTTCTTCATCTTTTTTCGTAAGACACATTACTTCCACTCCTTATGCTATCATCGGTCTAATTGCTGCTGTATGTATTTTTGTCTTTGTTTTTTTTTTTATTTTTAAGTAGTGGGTGATATTTCCAAAACACCCCGTTCTTCTCCCGCCTTGTGTGCTTGGTGGTCATACGTTGAATGTATGATTTGGAGTGGTTGATGCGTATTTAGTTATTACGGTTCTATTTGGTCCATTTAGTTCTTCAGTTTCCGTATTCGACAATTTTATAACGCCAAATGAGGACTATGTGAAAGGTGTTATTGCGTATGTGTTTATTGCTTTTACTATATGCTTGGAATTAAGTTTACTTTTGAGTATTATCCAGATTTAGCCATACGGCTCACACTCCCTCTAAGAGGAAAATTCACTCATCATAGATACCTACGGTATCAAAAGGATTGACCTCTGGTGGGACTCTTTCTGCATTATTGAGCCCTAGGTGACTTGGTATGGTG